TTCGGTATCCCTCCGCACACTCATCCAGAGCGTCGATGCATATGAACGTGCGCTTATTAGAAGAAGCGGTCTGCATCATCTTAACAATATCGGAAAGTCGCGGCCCCCGCCCACCAATGGCATTTCTTTGGTTTTGGTACGCCCGCGGTATCTCCTCTGGTGTCTCCTCCAGCCCGCCAACCAGCTGTTTCAATAAGGCACCCAGAGTGCCCGTGGAGGACTGCTCCTCTCGTGCACCAAGGTCAAAATAAAAACAGGCAACCACGGCGCTTTCTCCTTCCGCTCGATCACATAAGTTGTCTATCACCAGTGAGCTAGTGGATCTGCTTGTCAGCAATTACTATTTCCCTTCCGTTCCTCTAGGCCAGTCCGTATTACCTAATATATGTCTTGCCCGCCCCCGGGTCTCCACAACAGAACAATACTGAGTTACCCGATTCACCTTCCCCACTACCGCCGCACCAGCTCCTAAATTCCTCGGTTTGTAAGAGCCATTCTCCAACATTTTCCACTCTGCAGCCCTGAATATCCCGATGCCGTGACTTGGGATCTAGTGGTGATATCCATGCAAGGATATTCGATCGGTCATCGGCGACGCTAAAGTTATTCGTAACGTTTGAGTTCCAAGAGTTGATGTTGTTACTAAAGGGTTGCGACATTTTCTGTTCCCCCGAGTTTAGGAGTAGTAGGTTATGGATGGTGGATGACGAAACCGGTCGACTACTGGAATTCCTTGGGGTTTAAGAGAAGCATGGTCTTTTGTCCAGCCTTAAAGATCTCTTACGACTATCCAGCTAATTCCCCCAAATCTACGTCAACAATGCCCTGCCTGCACCTACCGCATCGGTAGTAGGAAGTAAGCTACCACACCTCTTTGCATTCACAGTGATTAACCTATACTGTACTGTACATGCAATAAAAACAAGCCCAGCCCAGCTCCAGTATGCCGTGCACACTGCTACATCTGAGGCCTATTATCCCCGAGCAGGTGTAATAGCCTAGTTATCCCCACTCTTTCCTCACCTATTCTATAGCCACGTCACAACCCGCCCTTCATCTGCCTCTAGAGTTCGAAAGAGACTTTACAAAGAGTACGATCCGGTACAATAAGGTACCCACGGTAATTCCCCCTCCACCTCCAACCCAAAAACACTCTAGCTCAACGAAGATCAAAGAAGGAGGTCTACCCCCGGAAGACGGGAAAAAGAAATCCCAATCTAACACCCAAAACAAAGTTAAACTAGAGGCATTCCGGACATGAACATTACGGATCCAACCCGACTATCCCTCATGTTGTCGTGAAAAGGGCGAAAATTTAAGCCTTCCCCAACAGCCTCAATTTCTGCGCATTGGCCATCCGAGGTCCACGTATAAGCAAGCCAGGGTAATCGGCACCTTATGCCACATGGCCGAACCTCTAGGGCAAATGCCACCATTACCGACATCAGACTTTCTACCACAAGATACCTTTTCCGGTATTATGCCTTACGGGAGGAATCTCCGGCATGGCGCCATGGATTTAAAGCACCGAACGGTGCTAATACAGGGGTGGACGGTAAGTAAGGAAAACCTATTCTGATCGGCTGCTGGCTTAATCAGCCAATCAAAGTGTCGAATCTGGAGAATCCTTGGTGCCAAGAGTCATCCAGAATTTTCTTCCCACTTCAAACTTCCGATCGGAAATCGACCGCTGATATGGTTACACACTCATAATTTTGGCCAATAGAACTTACCAGTACAGTACCTGTGTCCAAATCCTAAGCACAGCCAACACACTTAGACAGTACTTTCCCTTCGGCAAAGATCTACAATGACGAGGCTATAGGCTACAAGCGCTCCTTCACTCGCCTCCCGAATACCCAATCCACGTCGACGGGAGATACTGCCGCTATGAGCACGGCCGGTACTCGAGTAGTATTATATACATCCCAGCGAACCGGATCACCATAAACCCCCCCCCCCCGCGAAAGCTTCAAAATAGCACAGCCCCACACCAGCATGCATGCTCTCACACCACTACGATATAATATATAATTTTAGAGTGCTGACAAAGTGCAAAATTCTAGTCTACTGACACAGCCCGTACTCGTAGACAACATTTCCTGAATCCTAGAGAGAGAGAGAGTGGGGAGAGAGAGAGATGCAAAATAACTCACTCACGGTAAACCCAAAAGCTACGGCATCTGATTTGGCGAGAACCGCCGTAGCCTGCTCCAGGATGCGAGCCCCGTATTCCGGAGGCTTTGAGACCTTATTCGGCACCCCGGGCTAACGTTTGCTGAGGAAAATACTCGTACGAGTGGATTGGATACCTGGAAAAAGGCTTTTTCGTTTTCAATAAAGGGAAGAAGAAAAACATCTCCATAGAATTGTAAATGTGCTGGCAGAAAGAAACCAATGGCATTCCACCCCGTTCTGCCAAAGCCTCCCCATGAACTACAAACCAGACATCAAGGTATGCGCAGTTATTTACAAAAGTTTGGAGCGGGGAGGGGTTGGCTTTTGAGGATAAGGATATTCCGGTTGTAAAGAGAAGTGTGGTGGCTGCGACGGCGGTGGGAATGAGACTTGCTGGGGGTGAGGCGGGGAGAGGTTTCCCGCAGGTAGCTTGTAAATTATCCCCCGATGGAGTCGGGCCAGCGGTGTGTTATCAGACCATCCCTGGTTGGGGAAAGAGGAAGGCAGGTAGCCCGAGCATTACGATACAATTGGGTAGCTGGCACGATATCAAATCGCAGTTGTGAAAACCCTCGGCGCAGCGGTTGAGACATTCCCGAAGCGCAGGGTGTTCTATGCGGACAGTCCATCCTTCCTAATCCACTGTATCAAGTCCAAGGCTGGAGACCAACGGTTTTTTTATTAAAAGGGTATCATCAGAGCTAGTATTGGTAGATCCTATTTTTGCTAACCCTCCCGGATTGGCCTCCCCGATCGAGAGATTCATATCAACGACTCAACCCTAGACTTGGCTTGGCCGTGCTTTGTACTGTACCTTCTGTCGGTCCGGTGTCACACCAAAGGCCTCGCCCAAACCGCCATTGGTCATCCACCTGAGCTGCTAGCGCCCCTACCGGTAGAGAACCGCCGTATCCAATATTGCCGCGCTTTTCCACAGGGCCGGGAAGAACCTAGGCGCTACGGTTAGCGAGCTCCCAAAACTATAACTAAGAGTCGCGGTTACATGCACATCCGGAACCATTTCGGAAAACCCCATTTCACCATTTCCTCCTAGAGGCCCGTTTACCTAACCCTTGTGTCTAAAATTTATCTAGCGAAGGTAGACGGTCGCGTCACAGAGAGAATTTCGGTATGATACAACAGACAGCTGAAAAGCCTTTACCCAATTTTCAACCGTCTCCATACGCTACTCGAGTGCTCGAGTAGCTGGCAGTCTGTAGGCAAACGGACCCTGAAAATACCGGGATTCATCGCAGGAGGATTAGAACCACCGTTAGGCATCACCTCCACAGATGATATCTCAAAGCGCTTTGCCCGGTTGGCTTTATCGGAAGAAACAGTGCGCTTCCGGGGAAATATTTCCTTAATCCCGACTTCAGTTTGAGGTCAGCCTGAAAATAAAAAGAAATCGGACCCCCGGAGACGGCCGGGAGATAGCGTCCAACAAGCATAAAAAACTTGAATAAACAGTTCCTTAATCACTAATCCAGGCTATCAACGGAGATCAAGTTCCTCACCCCGAAGCGAGGGTGGTCTTTAGGAGAGCAGGTTTCCCGATACGCACATCACCGCCCCGATCCATCGCAGACTGAAATGCCTGCACGATTCCTGAGGGATCGCTCCCACCCGGCTCACACTTTTGCCGACGAGAGTACCCAACACATTCTCGGTAGATTGCATATTTCTCCTCCGAAAGTCACAGTAGAAACATAACACGAAACTAAAATTCTCCTGATGCGCGGCTCCATCCCACGGTTCATCAATCGCTCGTGAATTAGAGCTATCATTTCGCATTTGTTGATCCATCGCACATGGGTAACCATCGAACCCTCGAACACGAGATATATCCCTCCAGGCTTGCCCCCGAAGTGCCGGAGCAAAAGAGCGCAACCACACCGGATTCATCCCTTCTGCCACGCCGGTTGGTGAAATTTAGCGCCTGCAAAAACTAGTCCCTCCAAATCATCTAGCCGGTGGGTGCTCTGCGTCCCCGTAGAGTACTAGCGCGAGGTTCTGGAGGCGATAGCCACTCTAAAATCTAAGGATTTTTGCCCGAATATGCGGCGTTGCAACTAACTTACTTGTCACCCTAAAACTGCTCTAGTGGCGTGTCTCGGGGCGGTATGGGGCTGGATATGAGCCGAGGGATCTACGCTCTCTTATATACAATCTGAGGGGAAGAAGCGAACATGAAGGGCAAAGATTGTTGGAAAATGGGTTGTACGGCACCCTCATCCGTCGTGATTTGGATTTTTTGCGATTGGCAGAAGCAACAAGGCGGATTCCACAGAAAAAAATAATCACCGAATGTCGGGGGAAAAAAACCAACAGGCGCTCGCTAACAGAGAGTTGGATACCTCCGACAACACGTTTCGCAAACCACCTATTCTTGAAACTACTTGACAGTGAATTCCATGAACAGCAAGCAAGGATTCTTTTTATTCACTAATGGCGGTGATAGCTATCTTTTGTTTCCTGTTATCACTAGCAGACGAGCGACCACTCATGAACCAGAGACCGGCAGGAAGCCGAATGAAATTATACCGGTGGTCAAGAGCAAAAAAAAAAAAGGTCAGCGGTCTTCACAAAGAGTAGCCAGGACACCCCCGTTCTCTTCCACCACTTGTTCGTAAATGTCAATCTACTCAATGTATACATTATACCAGGTTCTTGCATAAAAATTGGACCGAGTTACTCCACCACATCAATTTATGCGCCCTCGGTGAATGTTTCCGCCAATTGAGCGGTTCATGAGAAATTCCAGCCCCTTCCTATACCCTCGCCCCCACGCGCTTGCGCACTGCGCACAGAATCTCCACTTAAACAAATAGAAACTGCCCCGCAATGGCTCCAGTGGCTAATAACAACAACGGGGTCCACTTGTTCAAAATCTTGTACAAAACCGCCAACCCCACGACGTACAGCACCGCCGCCGTGGCCGCCATGCCCGCTTTCTTCAATACCACCCTCAGATCCTCTTCAACAATAGCGCTGCCATCCCCCACATCCGCCTCGTCCTTTCCACCAACAGCGAACTGCAATATCTCCACTGCGATAACCGCAATCACACCCACCACTGCGGCACACAGTCCATCGAAAAACTTGGAGAGAAATTTGTTCCGGACCAGCTTTTCCAGGAGCTCATGCCCTGCGACCGTGAAGAGGAAGCATGGGAAGAACATTCCCAAGGTGATGACTATAGCGCCGGCAAATGCCCCTCCAATACCCTTTCCATCTGCAAGACCGCCCTGAAATCCGACGAATGTTGCAAAGATAACCAATGGCGCGGGAAGAACGTTTCCTATAGCGATGCAGTCTATAAACACGCTCTGCGCTAACCAGCCACCCTTCAGTACCGCTTCCACCTGAACAAACGGAATAGCGGTATACGCCCCGCCAAATGATAGACTTCCGGCCACGAGACCGAGGACGAAGAGGTTTATCAACGAGGGAGTTTGCGCAATTCCCAAGGCGAGGGATACGGGTGAGGGTACACCGCGGAACACGACATAGACGGCATACGCGACGTATTGGAGGATGAAGATGAAGGCGGAGGGGAGGAGCATGCGTGGTTGGCATATAAGGGCGTAGAGGAGACCATAGAAGGCCAGTGAGATGAAGATGTTTATTCGCAAGGCGGTGTTAAGGGCGGTGCAGAGGCCAGCGATGATCAAGTACGGGTTAACTTTTTTCGTGGTGTGATCGACGATACAATGGTCGGCGATTTTGTGGGCCGCCCGGAGGATCTGTACGTTGTTAACTTGAGACGCGGAGACGGAGGGGGAGGGGGAGGGGCGTACCATTGCCGCAACTAATGGCTGGACACCCCGAAAAGAAGCATTGAAGTATACGTTATCGAAACCCGCTAGCGAGTAGAGATAACTCGCCAACAACATCAATAAGAACCCCGGTAGGATAAACCCAAGCCCAGCGATTATACCGCCGATTCTACCGGCGGACAAACATCCAAAAAACATACACAATTCCGCCGCTTCAGGACCGGGAAGAATCTGGTAGACGGCAAAAACTCGTTGAAACCGTGCGAGTGTTATCCATTTCTCCTTGATTACCAGCCGCTCTTTTATCAAAACAATCTGTGCGACTGGACCACCCCAGGCGAAAAGACCAAAGTTGTAGAAGAAGAACCAGAAAAGCTTCAGATATCCGAGGTGTGGGACATTGGAGTTGTCGTGGTAGCCCAGGTCTTCCTCTTGTGTAGGCTCGGTTCCTTGGGAATCTTCGTGGGATTGTGATTCAAGATCCTCGGCGGACTTAATTTCTTGGGCTGGTGGTGATCCTGGTGCCAGGAAATCAGTGCCTGGTGTTGTAGTCGCCATGATAATATTATGTTATAAAACGAGGTGCTTGTAGATAGAGGAAGAAATAGACAAAAGCTAGAATGTTTTGACTTTTGCTGAGGCTCTCTCATGTGCCGGTATCATTTCCGCAACTTTATGCCTAGAAAAAGGTGGACGGACACCTGCGATTTGATTGGCTGATCGAACCGTTCGCCAGCCGAAAAGTCTGGCAACCGATGTGCGCAAAAGTGATAGATTACCGGCAATGCAGCTGCAGGTCGAACCCGAATAGACGATTATGGCGTGCTTACGGGCTATTCCGTCTTGGCGATCCGGGAGATGGATGAAACTTCAAACCACGAGGCTAACCTTCCACAATCCATCTTATTCTCCCGTAACCTATCCCTCCAGAAGTCCCAAATGCCGGAGTCAAGAACGAAGAAGGTACGCTTTCTACGCCTTGGCCATGAAAATCCATTTACTGACTGGGCAGGATGCCCAACGTGCACTCCGAATACGAGATACGAAGCGCCGGCAACGGGCTCGGCAGAAAGAATACACCGCCGAATTGGAACAAAGACTGCGAGCGCTTGAAGCGCAAGGCGTCCAAGCAACGGTGGAAATGCAGCTATCCGCCAGGAGAGTAGCGGGAGATAATGAACGGCTAAGGAAGCTGCTAAGGACTATTGGGGTTGACGAAGACGTCATTAATGGATGGAACGAGGGGCAGGAGGTGAGCTATCGGGCCACGAGTATATTCAAAGTCAAGGACAGTGAAAACGATGCGGGGGGGCAGAAAGATAAATGCCCCGCGCGAGTGTGTAAATCAAATACCGCTAAAGTAAGTAGATGCACACATCCCTCCACCCCACAAGCGAATACCGGCATTAACCATTCCAGCCCCAACAATGCCAGGAACTCCCCCCACTCCCAGCTGAATGTGGCCCGCCCACCCCGCCGGCGCATTGTCAGTCCAAGGCTCCGTGCAAACTCGCCCGTGCTCTCGCCGAAGATCCACATACCGACATCGCGCAGCTCCCTATCCCCGCTGAGAGTGAAGCTGAAGCAAAAGCGACACCGGGTAAAACACCCTGTGGCAAAGCTGCCCAGATGCTGCTCCAGTTCGCCACCTCGGACGAGAAGTTGGAGGCTCTTGCGGGGATCCTGGAGGAGGGGTGTGTGCAGAATGGAGAGGGCGGCTGCAGTGTGGAGAATAATGTTGTGTTGGAAGCATTGGACAGGGTCTGTATATAAGAGTTATGGTGGCCGTCATACAAGACGGCAAGACGTGTATGGTGATGCGAGTGCTATAAGATTATCAAGGAGAAACGCGAATTAGGTTTCGGAGGAAAGAGAGGGAAAGCTTGGTGAGATGAAAATCTGGCTATTGTACCACATACCGCTAGGCAACGCCCCACTCCTACCGCAGGGCCATTATTCATGAGGTGTCGCATCTCCTTGGCTGTGTCCTCCAATGGAGGTTGATTTGACAACCTTTTTCCTCTCCCCCGGCAAACTCTGCCGTTTGCTCTTCTAACTCCTTCCCTACTGACTCCCGCTCTGAACTCCGCGTAGTGTCTAACCCCCCCCCCCCACCCCCTACTAGTAATTATTTCGCTTGCTTGCTTAGCACTACACCCGAGATTCAATTTGAACTTTAAATTGTATCATTCAACATAGCCGCAAGCAACGGGTCCCGTGTTATCGCCCCGCCTCCGGTTCCACGGTCGGGTAACCCCCCCCCCCTGCAATAAAAGAAAAGGCTTAGGAGGGGATGGGACAGTGGAAATCACATCACGCACGGTATGGAATGAGTCGAGTGGCCCCAAAAGTGCAGGGAAAAGCGACGACTCCTGGATCCCATCGCATCTAGCCCACTAAACTAATCGAAAAAGAGAAAAAAAAGAAAAAAAAGCCCAAAATTTGCGCGGTAGAATAATGAAAAACTGCATCCCGGCGGGAAAGAGGGAAATATGCTGAACCAGCCACATTTGTGCATTGCCGCATCGAGCAAGGATGATGTAGACCACTGTACGGAGGTATTGTAGAGCACCCAAGTTTTGTATATTTTACTAGCAAGGGGGTGCTCAACTAGCAGGGGTAAGGGAACGAATTGAGTAATGTTCGACACGGATTGGGTAACTTTCACAGAAGACTACCCGGTTTGGGCATCTTACCCTTGCTAGCCGAGAACCCCCTTGCTAGTGAATATACAAAAATAAGGCGTTGTACCTCCGTACAGTACGCGAGGTCTTTGTGGCAGCGACACGATTTCCTATCATGCCACCGGTATATATGCAAGAGTAAGCCTATCCTGCAGATCTACTCGTAGTTGCTAATCCTTGTACTGTAGCGCGCTGGCCCAAGTGTGAGACGCTCTGAATAAAGCTTGCCAGAATTGTCCACGAAAAATCGTGAAAATTCCACACCTACGGTACCCGTTTACAAGTATAGACCGTGTGAGGGCTCAGCGAGGCGACACCCTCAGCGAGGCGCGGCACGGCTTGGCTCCCTACTGTCGTTGACTGTAGGCAATCTTTGCTGCCAAATATCGCCAAGCCTCGCTGAGGGTGTCGCCTCGCTGAGCCCTCACACGGTCTATAAGTTACCCCTCTCCCATCCTATCGCTTCCATGCCTTCCCCATAAGTTATTATGATACGATGACGATTAAAATCCCGCACCAGAAGCTTTAAATTTAGATTTTCTCCCTTCTTGCGACATCACCCCTCTCTTGGCATCCAAACTTGCACAGCCACACGTAACAATTTGCATTTTATTCCTTTTTTTCAGGCAAGCGCACATGTTAGACCCTTCGAACTGCAGAGTGGAACACAGTAAAAAAATCAATACCCCTATGGAGAAACATGGGTCCCCAAACCTTGATTAGATTGGATGACTTTTGGAGTTTTGATCTCCATGTCGGCGATCGGCACTGTTTCCTATAGTAATCCGGCCGGGAACCCACTCACCCATCCAGAGGAAACGGAAGATTGACTTTTATTACATAGCGAGGAGGGGCGGTGACAACTCGAGTACCGTACCGGTACCAGTATCCGATCCGGCTCCTTTCTCTTTTCTCCTTTTTTTTTTTCTCCAACCGAGCGCCCGGCCCAACCTCCGGCATCCCGTACATGATGCGCACTCCCCTAGCGACCAGTGCTCGAGTACTCGTAGCCGTATAATACCGGTACCCAATTATCGTAACCGCTCGATTTATAGAGACCATCGCCAAGGGAGTGATTAGCAAGAATATACTCGAATACAAGTACCATTTTCAGGCCAGGTAAGAGTCACCCCAATACTCGCTAGCCGATTAGGAAGAACTGGGTTTGATCTCCCGTTCCCTTTGATGCTTTTCTCCTATTTCTTCCCGAGCTACCGGTAGCATATCCCAATGCTGATTCTAGACCCCTCCCCCTTGGCAACGGCCTCTATCCAAGTGCCGGTAAACCGAGGGTTTCCGGCGCAAGCACGAGCGTTCCATGGCAGTCACTGCGTTCACGACCCAAACCAGACCGTTAGAGCCCTCGCCCTATCGATCACGCCACGAATATCCCTGAAAATAGCGACATGAGCGCCAGCCAGGCCTAGCCTGGCGTGTTAGACTACACTCACGGGATTGCGAAGCCAGTGCCAGTCAATGATATCCAAAACAGCCAGATAATCCGGCCTATACCGTGTTAGGAAAGCACTAATCCCCGTCAAGAACTTTGTCTCTGAAACCCGAGATTAGCGACCTACCTGTAACGGAGATAGCGAATCGCGAGGGCTGATACTGGTTCGGGAATGTTTTACCGTGAGACACTGCCTGTCAGTACTT